AGAAACCTCCGGCAGAACTAGGCTCAGGGAGGGGTCGTGGTCATCAGCCGTGACCGGTTAAATCCTGAATTGATATTTAAATAGAAATGTATTTTGCCAGAAATACATTTAATAATATATTTCTGACTGTCTGAGTCAAAATTGAATTGAATCAGAACCTTGTGGATGAAAATCAAATCCATTTTAGAAAACTGTGACAATACCCAGTCCTATGTATAACCGCTCATTACTAGCACCACTGTAGCTGACTGTATATAAAAGATGTAAGTCATACAAATGTACAAATTACCCTCTGAGCAGGTCACTAGTCTATCACAGGAAGAGACAGAACACCATGTACTCTCACGGTCAATTTAGAATCAACAACTAATCTAACAAGCCTTTTTTGGACAGTTGGACTGGTTTAAGACAAATGACATTATTTTATGTTATTTATATAATCATAACAAAAAAACTGTAAAAGAAAAAAAAAGAAATTATGAAACAAAAAAACTTTACCTGTTATGTGCCTATTTTTGTGTGTTTGAAGGTTTCAGAGCTCCAACTGTGGTTAGAGGAGCAGCAGGTGGGTTTAGAGTCTCGAGACTGCGGGAGGAGTGAGGAGGTGACGGACGCTATGCTGAGGAAATTGGACTCTGTGGCTGTAGAACTGGACAACCACAGGAGGACAGTAGAGAAGCTGCAGGAGAACGGTGCATCGTTGCAACACCTTAGACACCCCAAGAGGTAAAGCGGTGTGTAGTACGATGCAGCATCATCATTCTGCTTGTTTTTTTTTTACATTTTGAAACTAAAAAGAAAAGAATGTTTCTGTTTTTCAGCCACCTGGTCAGTGAGTCTCTCCCAGCTGTCGTTGAATGTTATGAGATGCTCCTCAGACTTTCTGCATCCCGTCGTGCCGCTCTGGAAGATCAGCTCCGTCTCTATGTGTATGAGAGAGAGGCTAAAGAACTCCAAACATGGCTGACCTCCAAGAGAACGATGGTAGAGTCCACCGACTGTGGACAAGATCTGGAGAATGTGGAAGTGAGTCACGTAGAAAAATAATCATGGGTTTCTTGTGCTTCATAGTTTTTAAAAAGTAGAATGGTTGAGCCATCAGCTATCAATTGCTGCTCCTGTGAAACGAGCTCCCAGTTTGGGTTGTAAGATTAGATTTCCAACTTTCTTTTTGATGATGCTTATAGTCAGGGCTGGATCAGCTGATCCTAAACCAGCCCTTAGTTATCCTGTTATAAGCTCAGTCTACCGGGTGACTCCCCATCATACACTGAGAATTTGTTCTGTACTCATTTATTTTCACTCCTCATGTGTTTATACACCACTACTGCATGTCATTAGCTTTTCTCTTTCCCTTCACCTACTAACCAGTCATGGCAGCTGGTTGGCCTTTTTCTGCTGGAAGTCTCTTCCTGTGAAAAAGGAGTTTGTCATTCCCACTCTTGCCAAGTGATGCTCTTAG